AAATCGCTCTCAACATATAAGCCAGCGTCGAAACAAGCATCATAAACCATTTTGACATAATCACTGAAGGTATTTGCGACTGGAATGATCATCACTTGGCGGGGAGATAACCAGAAAGGCCTTGGAGAAGAAAAGGAGCGTTAGTCCTTAGCATAATAAAATGAATATCTATTATCATGTAAATCATAAAATGGTAATCACCATTTTCCACCAAAATGTTCAGATAAAATGGCAATCATACGTTCTACTGAACCCAATATAGCACGATGGATCATAACTGGGCGGGCATATGATCCTTCAGAGTCGCCGGCTATTTGGGTATGATATTCAAGTTCAAAACGTTCAGGAAGTTGAAAGTCAAGCTGTAATGTCGCACATTGATGCTTCCTTTTAATAGCATCCGATACTGTAATGTCAATCTTGAATATGATTGTAAATTTAAATTTAAAAGTTAAGAATAATGGACATAAAATATTTAGCAATCACTCAATTAACTAAATATTACCTTTGGACCATAAAAGGCACCATCACCAGGGTTAAGTTCCCATGGTTCGCCAAATTTATTAAGTGCCTCTTCTAACCTCTACAAATAAAATAATTTATCAATTACCAAAATACTGAATGTATAAATATATAAAATATGATATTTGATCAATAAGGCCATACGAAGTTAATTTTTTGGTCTCAACATAAAATTTTAAAAACTCGGCTTTAAATTTGTTTTCAAAAAATTTAATATATAAAAAAAATTCGTCCGAATAGTGCATATAGTCAAAATTTTTGTAGAATTTGACCCAGCCGGATATGAGAACCAATTTATTAAGTCTATATGGCCTAATTTGATATGATTTTATACCCACTTTTTCAGCCTGATTCCAAACCTCGATAGTACCTAAGTACTTTTCAGGTCTAGTAGACAATTTAAGTTGGAAAGTGAACCCAAAAACACCATAAACATGTTTTAAGAATTCCAGTGCAGCATTAATTTCATCTTCTATCTAATCATTCAGACAAAAATTGATTACTCCAATGAAAAAAAGTAAAGTAACAAAATATTAATAACTAACCTGATCAGGTCGACAAAAGATATGTGCATCATCTTGTTGAAATCGTCTTACACGTGTTAGTCCTGTTAAAGCACCACTTAATTCATTTCGATGTAAAACACCAAAATCTGCTAGACGGAGAGGTAATTCACGATATGATCTATCTCTATGCTTGAACATTAGACAATGGCCTGGACAGTTCATTGGTTTCAACGCAAATTTTTCTTTTTCGATTTCAAAGCAAAACATATTTTCCTGGTGATAAGACATTTTATTTAGAATTTTGTATGTAAAAATGAAATATTAATATGAGATACGAACCTCGTAATTTTGCAAATGTCCTGATCGTTCCCATAATTTTGTGTTGTACATATTTGGTGTAATCACTTCTTGATAACCCCTTTTTCGATATTCCGACTATATAAGAGTATTTTTTTTTCAGAACCATTAACTCTTATGAACAACTGATTTGCATAATGTAATTAATAATACTTTTCAATAGGAGGCAAACCTTAATAAAATCAACGAGTGTATTGTAAATTCTAGTACCATTCGGAAGAAAGAAACAACTTCCAGGGCTGAGTTCATCAAAAAAGAATAATTCTTGTTCCTATGATGAAATATGCATTAATAATTATATAAATGACAAGAAAAATCAATACAGATATAATACAATACCTGTCCGATTTTTTTATGATGACGTCTTGCAGCTTCCTCAACAAATTTCATATATTCAGTCATTTGTTTTGTGTCCGGAAAAGATATACCATAGATACGTTGAAGTGAATCATTTTTTGAATCACCAAGGAAATAAGACGCTGAATTCTAGAATATTTATATTTTAATATTGATCATTATTTATACAATCCATTATTATAAATACATAAATTTTTAAATGACTAACCTTTGTGATTTCAAATGCCTTAATCTTGCCAGTGTGTGGGACATGAGGTCCCATACACAAATCTATCAAAGGACCACAACGATACACAGTGGTGGAAGTTCCATCCGGAATTTTTGAGTTAATTAGATGAACTTTATATTGGTTATGCTAATATCAAAAATATTGTGAATAATATTTATTAATTATTTATAATTATAACTATAGATTAAAATAATAAATAAAATACCTTAAACATTTCCAATAAATTTTCTTTTGAAACAACCAATCGTTCAAAAGGTTGTTTCTCCTTAATAGCACTCTTTGCAACCGTTTTAAGAGTTTCATAATCATTTTGGGTCACAACACTTGAGATCACAATTAATTAGTAAATTTAATATTAGTCGTAAAATAAAAATGGTAAATAAATAATATATTTACCGATCTTTAATAGCCATTTCATAGTAAAAGCCGTCATCTAAAGGTGGTCCGATGCAAAGATGACATCCATAATGACGTTCGCAAGCTTCACCAAGAACATGCGCGCTCGAATGCCAAAATACCTTTTTTCCTAAGATAATATTAGTTTTCGAAACAAATAATTTATGAGACGAATCTCAATTGCAAATTTACCTTCATCATGTTCAAAATCTAGAAATTCCAAAGTACAATCTGTTTCAAGTGGTCGAACCAAATCAAATAATTCGCCATTAACCTATTAAAAAGACATTAATAACGAATTATTTCGAACATTAAAAAATCCAATGTGAAAAAAAAAAGTAACAAACCTTGGCGATCACAATACGTTCAGATAATGACTTAGATATCCCTTTAGCAAGGTCCATAGGACTAGTCTCCCAAGCAGTGGCTTCTTTTTTATTTCCGTCCGGGAAAGTCACAGTAATTGGAGCACGTGGCTTCTCTATACGAGCATTTGAGTGAGGGCAATGAATGTGTCACCTAAGTGTTCTAAGACGGATTACAATTGATCCGCGGTATAAAACAGAATCTTTTGATGCAAATGTTGGCTTACTCTTGATTTCTTCGTCATATGTCGTTTTCCATTCTTCAAATAATTTAATACGATGTTGCAAATATTCAGGTGGAGGGGATAACTGTCATCAAAAACCCAAGTTAGTAACGTAAAGTGAGAAGTGAGATAGTAAATTATGTGATAGTCACCTCTAAAGGAAATTCATTAGAAGCCCCATCTTTAAGAGCTTTTTTGCTTTGTTTCTTATCCTTTGAAGCCTGAGGGCTCACTTTAGGTTTTTCAATTCCAACAGCTTCGCTGACCGAGGACATTTTTCTGATTTCTTTTCTTATTACAGATTTCAAAATAATGGACCTATTAATAATTTTCTTATTAAACAGGTACCTGATCATTTAATTTTCGACACAATACACAAAACGTGATTAATATTAAGTTTTAAACGGTTCGATGGATAATGTAGATTCATGTTGATGGTTCCTAATTATGATTGGCTAAAATGATGGCGATAGCAAAAAAAAAGATTATCACAAAAATTTGAATCAAACATATAGACAGGCAATAAAATGTCAATAATTATTACACCAAGCATTTTAGTTTAAATTTTAAAAATTTTACTTAAAAAAATTTGCCTATTTCTATTGACTTCTTCTCAATTTAAAAAATGGTCTCGCAAATTATTAAATATAAGAGAACAATTGGACTGACATCAATAGAAATTAAGTACATCTCGATGAAATTTGAAGCCATCTTAATTATTTAATAGCATATATCGAATTTGCGAAACTGTCCCTGGATTTAACAATTGCAGGATGCGTAATAGCTAAAATTTTCGAGTCAGCTACAATCGCATTGTTAAAATCTATAGTCCCTAATTTAAGCCAATTCTGTAAATTTGCCGATATGGTCAAAAGAAAGCTTAGATCTTAAGCTTTCTTTTGACTATTAAATTCATTGGTCAATCTGCTTGATTTCTATTGACGGCAGTCACATTTTTTTAAGCAAGAATGTTTTCAATTTTGAGATAATGTTCTCATGAGAACATAAAATTTCCAACACTGCTTCTCCCCGTATTGTGAGTTCGCTATGCATATAATAAATTCTACACTCTCTACTAGAAGATTCAGGTTGACGATAATACAGTGATCAAGGATTTTCATCAAGATTGTTCGTTTTAAAAATATTATAACCGTTGGGCGTTTTCATAAATTCTGGGACAATGACTAATGATTATTCGATAAGCACTTATATAATGCATATTTATTACCATTACCAGTTAGTCAAATATTTTTAAAGCATATTTGTTGCTGTAGATAACTAAAAGACTTTAGCAGGTTGAATTCACAAGCAATTTCATGTGTTAGAAACCTTCCATCACTTTTAGAAAGACACGTTTATTATCGAAGTCTAGCTCATATTCATAACGTTTTTTTATATTTCAAGTAAAGTCTGTTGGATGACAAGAACAATCTTTATCATACAGTATTAGACAAGCATCTATCTCGACGTACAGGTTCCAATAAACAGATAAGCATTAAATACAATATCTCTTGCTCACATAATCACAACAAAACAATGAATAATGTAAGAACTTATTATTATGCTTTTAAAGAAAGAGATAAACAATACTTGGTTAAGAACTGTAAAGACTTATTTTAGTATATACAGTACCTGTCACTTGCGCTGAAGGCTCTTAAAGTTCTTTAAAAATAATATTTAAGTTTAGTTTATAATAGCAAATATACATATATTATATATATCTTTAAATCATACACTTTATGAAATCATTGTTACTGCTTTATCAATGTTTGGCATTGTTGACACTGACATTATTCGGTGCACTTTTGTATCTGCTATGGTGTTTTAGAAAAGTGGTTGTGCATAATCGGACAATTTTAATATCGATATTACTTTATATCGATATAATATATATTTCATTAATAGGCGGGTAAACTATAATTTCTAAATTTAAGAGTCCCAATATCACGTATCCAAAGCACGGAGGGCTCGAAAGATAATAAGAGAATCTACGAACATCTATAATAAAGTCTGTTCTTTTTTTTATTGAACTCGGCCAATGATTTTCGATGTTTATCTGTTGCTCCAAAATTATGAGAACAGCCGGTTTACGGAGTCAGTTTAAGTCGAGCTTCTTCAAATCGATTCCGAATTTGCTAGCATGTAGTCACGCTTGAAAAAGAACGACTTTTTAGTTTATACTAAAACAATAAATTTTATGTATGTATGTTATAAGTCGAATTTACCTCACGCAGAATTGCGCCTCACTCCTAAAAATCAATTTTTGTGAAAGTAGATAAATTTATTAATAAATTCTAGAAATTCGTCCTATATTAAACTAAGCAAAGGAAATATCAATCATTAACCATATGTAGCGCTGGAAATCTTAAAGACTTGGTTTAAACATATTTTTAACACAATCTCTTTGCTTTTTAAATAGCCATTAACCATTATTTACAATATCTTAAGTGAATCAAAATATATTATTCTTGAAGTCCATATGTTATGCCCCAGATTTCAATTTGTCCTAATGTCAATTGACCAAAATATCAGCCTAAACAAATTAATTTAGGCAGGGCGTTTAGCTAAATTTTAGTAAATTGTCATCTGGGCCGTCCCAATTGACAATTGGGACGAATTTGGATTTGGGGCATAACACATGTAATCAAGTAACTATTTGTGTTGAATTAGAAGAGATCACTAAACAAATACTCTACACTCGATTGAATTCATTATCTAATATACTGTATTTAGGTTTTTTATTACAGATGTTTCACTGTGAATTTTTCGAATGATATTTGCTAATATTTCAATTATCATTACACTTATATACAATGGTTCATAAGTATTCTAATTTCGCTTGGATCGATTTAACACTCAAAAACCTACTTATATTCTTTTATTAACAAATATAACCTTAAATCCTAACTAAAACCTAAATAGAATTTTAAAAAATGCGCTCAAAAAATTTACCACGACGCGTAATTTTCGAATTAAAATTAGGTAGGCTGTAATTATTCATCTAATAAGAATTACAGGTTTTCCCTATGCGGCACACATCTAATTTTATTATAAATTTTAATAATGGAAAGTTATATTTATAGCACCATGCTATATAACGTATCTCAAAATTAGGACCCCAAAAACCTCACGAGAACTGAAATCGGGACCTTATATCTATATATATAGGGGATCGATATCCATACCCCCATACAAAATGAACTTTAAACGTATCTCGATAACCACCAAGCCAAATTCGGTAAATTTTATTATTTGAACTCTATGAACACGTAGAATTCAAATAAAAAAAAATCTTAATCGAATTTGGCCTGGTGGTTGTCAAGATATCTTCACTCAAATCTTAAAATCTCAAAACGTCTATCAAAACAGAGCTGCGCCAAATTTTTTTTTTATTATTTGAGAGAAAATATCTTGGCAACCACCAAGTCAAATTCAATGAACTTTTTTTTATCTGAATTCTACGAATCAGTAGAATTCAAATAAAAAAGAGTTCATCGGAATTTTACCTGGTGGATGTCAATATATCTTCGTTCAAATGTTTAAAAATCTCAAACACCTGTAATATCTTCGCTCAAAGTCTTAAAAAACTCAAAACGTCTATTTAAAACAGAAGTTGCGCCAAATTTCTTTTTATCTTTGAGCGAAGATATCTTGGCAACCAAGTCAATGAACTTTTTATTTGAATTCTACGTATCTGTAGTATTCAAATAAAAAAAAGTTAATCGAATTTGACCCAGTGGTTGTTAAGATACTTTCGTTCAAACATTGGGAAAAATTTTCTAACTTGGCAACCAACAGGCTAAATGCAATAAACATTTTTTTATTTGGATGCTACAAATTAGGCTTGGTCGTTGTCAAGATATCGTTTAAAGTTCAAAAAAACTTTAATTTGTATGGGGTATGATATCAAATCTGGGGGGTATAAATATCATTCCCCTATATATATTAAAACATATTTATCTTAAAGATGCACTCTAACCCTAAACTAACTCCAACTCAGACTATATAGGTGTTATATGACAAAAGTTCTAGCGTTACCACCAATCGAGGGCGCAGTCACGTGATAATCTGACCTTTCTCCGGAAACTTTGAATTGTTTTCAATAAATTTTTCTAACCATTTTTTTTTTTTTGTATTTTTATCAATCCTTTATTATTACTATTATTATTACGTGAATATTAAGTTGTTGTTTTTTTTTGGATGGGGAAGGTTTCTCAATTGTTTTCTAAGTGACAAAACCACTACTCTTAGACTATACTTGCCGGCAAAACTCTTGGGATTTGGGATTTGTCCATGGACAAACCCGGACAAATGGGATTGTCCGGCCATACTTGAAAATCCCATATGGCAAAAATGGACAAATCCCATCCCAAATCCCAAATTCACATGATATTGTCTGGAGCAAAGCCGCATAGTAATACAAAAGCTACATGCCTTATATTTAAAGCTACTAAAAAAAATAAATTTGGATTTTTTGGTGTTCTATTTCATGTATATACGTACGTATGTATTTATTCATATTGTATTTTTTTTTTTGTATGTTTTTCAAAATTTGAGATGGGTTTGGATTTGGGATGAAATTTGGGATTGGGATTTGGGTGGGATTTGGGATTTGAGTGGGATTTGGGAGGGATTTGGGATATGGGATATGGGATTTGGGTGGTATTTTAAAGTTTTTAATTTTGCCAGTATGTATACCCATATGTAGAATACGGATTTATAGTTGACAAAGTAGAATCCGAATTTAATCCGAATGGCTCTTAAAAAATAGGATCGAAACACTAGTTCTAACAGAATTGTAGCTTAAACTGAAGCAACAAATCTGTAATACAGATTTTTTTAAAAGTTATTTGTTTCTGAGTTTTAAGCGATTTCATATTTTATATAAAAGTGGATGTTTTTTGCTGTACAAAAATCACTCTTCGAGATTTTCCGATCGGGCTAATTCAGAAAACTTAGACCAGAATATCGGTTCTTATATCATCTTATACTTTATTGATTTAGCAGTTTTTAAATAAACTACCAAATAAAATTAAAATATGTAATTTTAATTATTAGACCATTCGCGACATTTTCTTATAACGAGTATGAAAAGAAAGCATTTTGTTGTTTTCTCAAAAAAAAACAGACCAGTTACAATCCTTCAAGTTGAAGATTTTCTTTTGCAAATTCTATGGTGTACGATCCATTGAGTTTCTTCTTTTACCTAGTATGAAAAGTCGCTATTAAAGATAACACTTTAAATATATGATCATAAGAGACTAATCTTAAAAGGTGGTTTTCTATATAGCATTTAAACGAAGCAATATATAACGATAACTTTTTTTTTAATTAATTGGAACGTTGCGTTACACGGGCAATTGATTTGCAATCGGCCGGTGAGTCCATCATATACAACAATATTAAATCATTATTTTTAAGTTAATACAAATGCAATTATGAACCATAAAAGGTATCTTTTTCATGCAAGACGATCTGTGTATATGCAAATGACTTGGATCAGGGTTGTCATACACTATCGCTATTTTTGCACGATAGATAAATACAGATCATTAATTATCCTTTCAATAAGTTTAAATTTAGATCAAGCAGCTTATCATAGTTAACTTTACTGCCGAAACATAATAAAAATATGTGGATTACATTATATGACATTGTCGTAGTCTTCTTTGGTTTGGTGCTAGACACTTTTTTTCGTGAAATAAAATCACGAGGGTCTCATAAAATTCCAGACAAAGGACCTCTCATTTTTGTTGCTGCACCACATGCAAATCAAGTAAGTTATCCTTAGTTTCGACTTCAGTTTTTATGTTATTTATTAATGTTCTATTTCTATCCAGTTTGTTGATCCGCTCATTCTGATGAGGAATAGTAAGCGACCTATTTCCTTTTTGATCGCGGAAAAATCTATGAAACGCAAATATATTGGTGGTATTGCTCGTTCTCTTCATGCAAGTAAGCTACTTTTTTATTTTCCCATTATATCGAAAAAAATTAAAAAATTGAAGAATTATGCCGACATAGCAACGCATAACTAATCATGCCCCTACTCTAGTCAAACTTTAATATTGGCATATTGTCAATAAAGTTAATGCAGGTCATTGCTATGTCAATAATTCTGTCTATATAATTTTACAAAAAATTCTTAACTTCTTGAATAGTATCCGTCACAAGACCTCAAGATTTAGCAGTGCCTGGAAAAGGAAGAATTTATTTAAGTGACCGTAAAAATGAACCCCTTCTAATTAGCGGTTTTGATACGAAATTTACTGAGGAATTGAATATCGGCAGTCAAATTTCCTTACCAAATGATCGTGGTTCATCCGAGGTAACCGATATAATATCAGATACTAAATTGAAAATTAAAAAAGAATTTAAGGACTTAGAAGCGATGGAAATGTTGTCGCAACCTGAAGGAACAACTTACAAATGTTTACCACACATTGATCAAAGTAAAGTTTATAAAACAGTGTTTGAAGTGTTAAATGCTGGAGGTTGTGTTGGAATATTTCCTGAAGGTGGAAGCCACGATCGAACTGAAATCCTCCCATTGAAAGGTTTGTGTCTTAAATTTATTACTATTGGCCGCTGCTTACAATATCTCCAAAAGTATTACCGTATTTCTGCGATATGTGTACCCGGGGTATTCCCCTTGTTCATGTCATGTACCCAGGTACTCATATGGGGGATATACCGTATAATACTTCTATGTTTTTAATGCGTTTTACTATTACATGCCCGGGTATATAAGTATGATACCCTCACACTTATATACCCAGGTATAAATCAAGATTTGGCATCCAAAATCGCTGCAGGGTACAGCCTACAAGGGGTACACATGTCGCAGAGATACGGTACCCCCATGATTAGGACCGGGTATTACTCACCATCCCTACAGCTTACTTCTTGGATTTACTACGTTTAATATGATATATCCCCTAAATATAGTACGCGGCTTGTGTAAGCAGTAGTCAACGGTAATTAATGTTATTACCTTGTTTTACATTAAGTCTACCTTTTATACGTGTAGCGGGAGTAACTATTATGGCTTTGGGTGCTATGGCTGCTAACCCTAAACTTGATGTCAAGATTGTACCATGTGGTTTGTTGAAAATATTTTATCATCTTATATATCTATATCCGTATTCTATAATTTATTTCTCATGATTTTGTTTCTTAAACAGGCTTGAATTATTTTCATGCCCACCAATTTCGTTCTCGTGCTGTTGTTGAATTTGGTTCACCTATTTCGATTTCACGTGAATTGGTCGAAAAATATAGCAAGGGTGGCCAAGATAAAAGGAACGCTTGTAGTAATTTGTTGGAAGTAATTTATAATGGATTAAAATCTGTGACCGTTAATACTCCGGATTATGAGACATTGATGGTATTTTTTCTTGCTCTTAATATTTTAAAAAGTCTAGAATCTTTATCTTATTGTTTGATAAATTCTATTTAATAGGTCATCCAAGCAGCTCGCCGTTTATATAGACCTGAACATCACAAACTTGAGCTTCCTGAAGTGATGGAATTAAACAGACGATTTGTTAGCGGTTATATGAATTTCAAAGATGATCCAAAGGTTCAAAAAATGAATAAGGAGGTCATGGCATATAATCAACAATTAAAATATTATGGATTAAAAGATCATCAGGTTCAAAAATCTACCTGTGGTGGATTTAGAGCTTTATTCTTACTACTACATCGAATTTTTCTTTTGATATTATGGAGTATTTTAGGGTTTCCTGGGTAAATATGAATTAACTCTAATATAATGATATTCTGAGAATTAAATTGCTTTTTTCTATATTTAATAGGATGATATTAGGATTTCCTATAATGGTTATCGCTCGATTTATTAGTTCCAAGAAAGCAAAAGGTTGGTCACATCAACTCATAAGTTATAGTGTAATTTTAGTATTATATTAATTGTATCGCCTTTATTTTAAATATTATGATTGTAGAGGCTGTTAAATCTTCTACTATCAAGGTTGCAGGACGTGATGTATTGGCCACTTGGAAGTTACTTGTTGCTCTTGGTGTTACCCCAATTTTATATGGAATATATACTTTAATAATATTAATTAGTGCTTATAATTATAACTGGAGATTTATATTGAATTTCGAAATATTGTCTCCAATAATTGTTTTTATTATGTTATTTGTTATTACTTATGGATCAATGCGATTGGCTGACACTGGACTCGATATATACAGGCGAGTTTTTTATCGGTTGTTTTTCGCTGTTTAGAAATATCTTAATAATTTTTATCCCAATTATATTAAAGGTCGCTTCGTCCTCTGTTTCTATCACTTCTACCTTGGTCTAAATCATCAATTCAAAGCCTACGACAAATTAGAGAGGAACTAGCATTCGATTTGACAGAACTAATTAACGAACTAGGTCCAAAATTATATCCAGATTTTGATAATGCACGTATAGTTCAAGAGTCTAAAAAGGCCAGTAGATCACCATCACCATCGAGGCCATCATCATCGTTGAGATTATTCGCATTGACAGATTTGGCGGATGATAAATTATTTAATTGGGAAAAGGCTGATGATTCGGATTACGATGATGTATTTTTCTTCCTTGACAAGCATAATGGTGGTAAAATTACTGGACGTAGTAGATCTAATTCTTCTAGTAGGAAATTTCTAAGTGGCAAAGATGGAACTAGTAGCAGTGCATCATTAACTAGAGTGAATTCATTTAGTTCGATCAATTCAAATATGGAAGCGTTTACAAAATTACCAAATACAAATACAAATACAATATCATCGTTTAACGTTCCAGAACTTAGAATTACTGATGATGATGGATATCAAGGAGACAAAGAAAGTTCAATACAAACAAAGAAGAACGTTTAATCTTTCCTCTTTGTATTTTTATTTTTTTTCCTTTATCATTATTTATTGCTTCAAAATAAGAACAATGTACAGATGTATATTTATCTATGTATTTGTATTCGTGATGTACATTTGTTGAATCAAGTCTCTAATGAGACTGCCTATTGGTCCGGTTTCGATCCCTAAAACGGTATTTAAAATTAGAAATTCGTTTAGATATTTATTTATAAAAAATATTGTTACACAAGTTCTTATCGTATGATTTATAATAAGCAAGAGAATTTTGCTATGGCCTAGTCGCATCATCTAAATTATTGCAGTGTTGCTAATTATATATTATAAAATTGGGTTTGAAAATGTACTAAAATGTTTAGAACTCATCAATCTATAATTGATATAGTTATGGTCTGATCCGGTCGCAAAATAAGTATTCGAATAGTATGGTACTAACCAATTAAATCAAGCCTACCGAATAATTGATTGTAAGGGCAATTAATTGCAATTTTTCAAGCTCAATTAATTAATTGGTGGCGCAGTCACAATTAGTCAATTAATTGCAATTTTACGTAATTAGATAATATCGTATATTCTCCACTACGATATGATTTTTGATTTCTGTTTTTCGCTGTTTAAAAGATCAGGTTACACCAGTGAAAGAAAATTGAATTTAATTGCAATTAATTGCAATTATTTCGTCATTAATTGGGTTTCAATTAATTTTACGATAATTTTAATTGATTTTAATTGTATGACGTATAGCAAAAATTAATTTAAATTAATTTTTCGGCAGGCCTGAATTAAATATATACATCGCGCTCATTATAATTTGTAGATCTGTGTAACAACAATTTTTACAGTATATACCAGGGACAGGCCCCCGAATAATTCTATGAGCTTATATTTGGCTATCATAGTAAATTTTTTTTTGTTAGCACTTTCATATTGATATATATTTCAAATATTAGATACGAATTTTAGTCTTCGTTATCTTTTTTTAAAATATGAGTATGTTCTCTAAAAAAAAAAAAAAAAAACTAAAATGTATTTTAAAAAAAAAAAAAAAACTGAAATGTGTTTTAAAAAAAAAAAAAACCAAAGTGCTTACATATTAAAAAAAAAAAAAAAAAACAAACCTTACTTTATATTTTTTTTTTTTAGCGATCATGCTACATGCTCATGTTTTATTAATCATTAATTTAATCTGAAGAAAAAAAAATATATCTAAAGATATGGGTATGTAACTCATCCAGTTACTTATACAGAATATCTAAATATTTATGCACCTGTGTGTGATCTGCCAAAGATGATTTTAGTTTTTTCAGTTTGGTTCAACCTACATCAAGCCAAACCACCCCAGTTCACCAACTTGGTTCATCAGCCTGTTATGATTGTCTTTTTTTTTAACCTTCTTCTCCTAGATAGAAGAATTCTATTAAAGAACAACAGGAAATTTATGAAATAAAAGAAATAAAAAAAGAAGGAATAACTAAATTAAACAAAAACAAAAAACAAACAAAAAAAAAAATTCAGGTTGTACATAAGTGGGATATGGAATTCTTTGGTAGATTTAGGTCGCAGATAGTAGTCAAGACCTGTCTGAGCCATAATGTACTTAATAATAGTGTATAATAATTGTATCACATAATATATACAAAATATATATACTTATAATAAAGTTATGAGGCATGACCTTACCTTAATACCGAAAAAAAAAAAAAAAAAAAAAAAAAGATAGCCATGATGGCACTATTGTAAGACTATATAAATCAGTGTTGTCACTGGAAAGCTAGAACCCCACTAGACATCCAGATTCTTCCAGCATTCCAGTGGTTCCAGTGAGAAATTCCACTGGAACAATTTTCTCACTAGAACGTATTCATATGATTGGCTAATCTAAACGGGACTATTTGCCAATCAAATTAGTTGACAACTAATTATGTTCCCGATCTTATAACTATATTTTCCAACTCGTCTTTTGATACTAATTCAAAACACTGTAAAAAAAAGAATTCTCATATCCGATTTCACAATAATTCTTTAATTAGTTAACAAAGTCTAACATTATCGCACAATTTATGCCAGATTATCCAAATTACTTTGTTTATTAGAAATGACCCTGTTTGTGATCCGGTAATATTCATGTAAACGGGTAGGGGTCCATATTATTTCACCGACAATCATTTCATAGACACCATATTTCACCGACAATTATTTATTGACAAGTTCATTTTACCGACAGTCTATATTACCGAAGCTTATTTCACCGACAAGTTTTTTTTTATAAATTACATTAACTTCAACTCTAATTCTAACGTAACCCTAATGATATTGACCAGAATTATATTGTCTATAAAATGGGCTTCAGTAAAATAAACTGTCGGTGAAATGTGGTGTCTACGAAGTTAGTAAGTTGATCATATCCCAACGGGTAGGTACCTGGATCTCAAATTTATATCGCTTTAATATCTGCTTGCTATCTTTGATGATTGATTCGAATTGGCCAATCAGAAGCCACTGGAAGTCACTGGACG